TGCCCATCAGTGTCACCTATCAGTGTCCATCTCTGCAGCCTCATTAGCGCACATCAGTGAAGGAGAAAAATCACTTATTTACAAAATTGTATAACAAAAACTAAGAAAAAAAAACGTTTATCAAAATTTTCAGTGGTTTTTGGTTTGTTTAAGAAAAAATAAAAATCCCAGAGGTGATTAAATACCACCAAAAGAAAGCTCTGTCTCAAAAAATGATAAAAATTTCATATGGGTACAGTGTTGCATGACCGCGCAATTGGCATTCAAAGTGTGACAGCGCTGAAAGCTGAAAATTGGCCTGGGCAGGAAGGGAGTATAAGTGCCCTGTAGGCTAGTGGTTAATTGTGTAGAAAAAAAAAACTAATCATAGACCAGCCTCAAAACTATTTTAACATTCCAACCTTCTGGCTTTAAGAAACACAAAAAAAAAAAAAAAAAAAAAAAAAAAAAGAGAACTGTAGTCAGTTGCAACTGTTTTTGCAGATCAAGCAGAGGAAAAAAAATATGGAATCACTCAAATGGGGAAAATATTATGGAACTAGTACTTTGTGGCACCACCTCTGAATTTAACAGCTTGAATTCTCTGAGGCATGGATTTAACTATCAACAAACATTATTCTTCATCAATCTGGTTCCAACTTTCTCTTACTGCAGTTGCCAGTTCAGCTTTGCAGGTTGGAACCTTGTCATGCACCATTTTCTTTAATTTCCACCATAGATTTTCAATTGGATTGAGGTCCAGACTATTGCAGGCCATGCCATTGACATATGTCTATCTTGAACAAAAGTTTTCATGACTTTGGCCCTATGGCAAGATACATTATCATCCTGAAAAATGATGTCATCATCACCAAACATCCTTTCAATTGATGGAATAAGAAAAGTTTCCAAAATCTAAACTTGTGCATTTATTGAACATTTATTGACTGTCATCTCCCCTGAAACCTTTACCTGACATGCAACCACATATCACCAGTGATTGTGGAAATTTGCATGTTTCTTCAGGCAGTCGTCTTTATACATTTCATCGGAACGGCACCAAACAAGGTTCCAGCATCATCATCCTGCCCAATGCAGATTCGTGGTTCATCACTCAATATCACTTTCATCCAGTCATACACAGTCCATGATTGCTTTTCTTTAGCCTACTGTAACCTTGTTTTTTTCTGTTTAGGTGTTGATGGTTTTCATTGGAACTTACATACAGAAAAGCCAATTTCCTTTAGGTGATGCCTTACAGTTCGGTCACAGACAAACTCCAGTTTCTGCCCGTTTGTTCCTCATTTGTTTTGTTGTGCATTTTCTATTTTCAAGTCATATTGATATAGGTTTTCTATCTAGACGCTTTGATGGCTTCCTTGGTCTACCAGTAGGCTTCCTTTTTACAACCTTCCCATTTGATTTGTACTTGGTTGTTCACAGTCAGCTGTGTCTAAAATCTGTACCAACATCTTTTGCAACATTCCGTGATGATTGGCACCTTCTGAAGAAGTTTTATAATCCTTTCCTTTGTTTCAACTGACATCTCTAGTGTTGGAGCCATGATTCATGCCAATCAGCTTGGTGCAACAGCTCACCAAGGTGTGCAAGCACTTCTTTTTTTTTTTTTTCACTGCAGACTAATTAGCAGATGTAATCTGATGCAGATGTTTGTTTTACAACTGCAAAATACATGGTGATTCCATAATATTTTCCTCAGAATTGAGTGATTCCATATTTTTTTTCCTCTGCTTGATCTGCAAAAACAGTTGCAATTGACTGCAGTTTTGGCTTTAAGAAACACTTTTTTTTTTTTTTAAAAAAAATTTTCTTAAAACGAAAAGATTGGAATGTTAAATGAAAATAGGCATGTCTGTAATTGTTTTTTTTTTTTTTTTTCTTCCGTACATAAGGAAACAATTGAATGAACATTGTCCACGAGTAGTGATTCCATACTTTTTTCCAGGGGTTATAGGCTGCAGTCCAGTCGAGGCCTGCTTTAAACAAACACCTAGAAAAGTAAGAATTTTATTTTGTATTTACTTTTCAATATGCTGTGTAAATGGCAACACAAACACATAGTAAAGTCTCCTCATCTTTGAGTGCAAAAGTGAGCAGATTCTGGCATTTTAGCATTCAGTACTTCAAAAGAGGGCTGTGAGGCTCAGTGACCCGTTTACTTAAACTGTGCCCTCTCTAGGCATCTCTCACCCTAGAAGCTTTAACACTTGCCCCATTCATTGCACTTGTTAGAAGTATAAGCTACAAAGATGGTTTATCATTTCACCTGGCAACCTTTGCATCTACAGTACATATTTACAAAGGATTAAAAGGAGAAATGTGGGAATGAAAAAAACATACATACATACTTCCCTCCATGCTACAGCAATGGTGTGATGCTGCAGCTGTCCCCACCGCCTATAAGCCTGAGAACTGAGCGATTGCATGAAGGCAGAAGTACTAACCATTCAACACATTGCTGCACCACTAATATAATGAGCTTACATTCCTTGCTTAGTTTAACTGTCTACCTGACCAGAACCTCCCTCCAAAACCACTGACAGGTCATATTTTTCTAAGCATCACAATTTTTACACCACAAAGTATTTTAGATTATTTCCATACACTTGTGAAGGTGTTTCCTGTGTTTTAGAACAGACAACTTTATTATTCAAAGAATCCAATGGTGCTTACCTGGCTTTTTCCTTTCAGCATCAAAAGATTAGTTACTTTTCCAAATGGCAGACCTAATGAGATGATTTCAGACTCTGTGACCTCATTTGGAATCTTACGGATGTGGAGAACTCGTGATGGAGAGCAAGGTGAGCGATCTCCTTTAAATTTTTTATTGTTCCCATTAGCTGAAAAAAATAAAAAAAAACACAAATAAGCAATCGAATCATTAAAATGCTTTGCGAAAAAACAAATAATCAGTAAGTGCCTGCACCAGAGGCTTACATTAGTGTAAAGTGGTAAAGTCCACCAATCACATCTATGAGTCTGCAGATGTGTAAATAGAATGTACACACATTTTGTATGTCAATTTTATTTTAATATTATAATATATATAGATTTATTTTGTGAACATCCAATGCAGCCCCAGGTAGGGCTCTTGGTTCATTTTCACAAGTTTTCCAGGCCTTCCCTAGCACCTCAAGAAAATACTTTAAAAAAGAGTTCCAGATCTGAAGCTGAAATTAATAAGCACAACTAAATGAACTACAGCAGTTTCTAACCCCTGAATGCCTGTTCAGACTGGCCGCGACCAATTTTTAATCAGAGAGGGGAGCAGCTTTTGCTGTGCTCTCGCTGCCTCATGATGCTCTTTGTGTTACAGTTGCTTGCATCATTTTAATTGTAAGACCAATATTAAAAAAAACAATTACATTTTAAAAAGGAACACGAAACTATTACAATTCATCTATAAAACTGAACTCTAAACAACAAGTAAGCAACTAACCAGAAGCCAATTAAAAGGTGCTAATGACTAATAAAAGCACAATATTTATTGAAAAAAAAAAAAAAAAAAAAAAAAAAAAAAAAGAGGGGGAGGGGGGAGAATGAAAAAAAAGTTTGCAAGGATAAAACAGCTGCAAGGAAAGAATTAAAAAAAAAAAAAAAAAAAAAAAAAAAAAAAAAAAAACCTGTATGCGGTCAGTGTCAGACTTCTGCACAGTTTTCCTCTAACTTTGTGCCCATATCCCCATACCAGCTTTCGGTTAGAAAGCTAGAGAACGACTGAATGAACTACATGCGTGCTGAGCAGCATGCTCCCAGATCATTCAAACAAAGTATGTCTGCCACCATGGCAGTTTTTTCATTCACAGGAATCTGTGAATGAATGACACAGCTGGGTGGGCAGTAACAGCCAGGAGAGGATCCCTCCTCCCACTTGCTGTCAAAGAGACAGAAGAGCTGGCAGGGTAAAAGGTAAGATCACTTTTTCACTAAAAATGAAAAGGTGAAATAACTCCAAATACCCTGGCAGCCCCTCTGACCCTGCTGCACATAGCAGCTGTGACGCCCATGCTGTCAGTGTGGCAGCCCGTAAAGTGCAATACACTGCCACAGAGTGAGAGTATCCACCACAATGCTCACAATGAGAAGCTCTCATTGGTCAGGACAACCACAGGACCACAATGACTAACGTGCTGCTGGTACTGAAAGGATGGCCAATATTTGGAGTTTGTTCACCTTTTAATTTTTCATTGAAAGGTGAACCTACCCTTAAAGCCAAGGAAATTAGCAAAATATTTATGCCATATTTAAACAATTAACTTAGTACATTTATGGAAAATACTTTGTGTCATCCAGCAAATTTAAAAAAAAAAAAAAAAAAAAAATTCCAGCATAGGTTTGTTCTCCTTTACTTCCTTATAAGACAAGTGGCTGCTAAGACTGCTCTTTCACCAGCTCCCAGTCTTGTAAAGCCCCTTCTGCGTTTCCTGCCTAACTGAACAACGTCATAATTACATTGCCACGCACTCTAGTGGGTGGACCCGGGAGTCTCAGATGCCAGGTCCGACTCACCCACTAGTTCATTCTGGTTTTATGGAAAGTAAGATCATTCAACAACCCAACAATCCACAATTCCATGCACTGCCCACCTCATTCATGCCCATTGCTGAATCCCCATTTGTTTTAACTGATATGGTGAGGGGAACGAAAACACACACACACAATCTAACCAAATACCCACGTACAAGAGCTAGACAGACAACTTCCCAACAGCAGATGCTGGCAAACATTAAGTAGTAAAACATTTAAAACACACTGGTCAAGTTTGCTCAACACCTTCCCGCCCGGCCTATAGCAGATTGACGGCTGGGCAGGACACTCCTCGTTTTGACTTGGCATCATATGGTGTCTTGTCAAAACGAACCACTCATGCGGCTGTGGGGCCATGCAGCGCCGCGATCGGTCACCCGCCTGTGTCCACGGGACACAGCCGATGACATCACTACACCGGCCCGTTGCCAGTGTCATGTGACCGATGTGACCAATCACAGCAGATCACATGT